GGGAAGTGAAAGAAGGAAGTGTATCGACAAGTTCGAAGCGGGGAAAGAGAAACTTGGTATTGAAGAAGGCCCATCAATAACGACGTGAAGAAGGACGGCCGGAGAGGAAAAGGGGCAAAGAAGTAGTCATTTGTCGACACATACATCCGGCGACAATGGCAGATCAGGGTAAGTTTGCCCTATTTTTTTCAGTTTATTGTTTCTTACCAAGAGAAAAACGATTGTCGTGCTTATATTTCCTTTTTTTGCTCTCTGCCTCAGAGAGGAAGCAGTAAGGTGCTGGGGATCGGGAAAGTTGGATATTGGAATCAGAAAATAAAGATCGCCCAAAAAAAAAAGAAAAAAAAAAGCGACCATGGCGGAAGAGCATGATGATTATGGAGCCGAAGAGGAGGAGGAGGAGGGACGAGGAGAACGAGAACGAGAACGAGAACGAGGAGGAGGAGGAGGAGATGGAAGAAGAGCAGAGGGATGGTGGAGGAGGTGCGGGGAAAGCGGAAGGGTGATTGAGCGGGAGATGGCAGAAAAGGGAGAGTAGGGGGAGGTGGTGGAGCGGGAGAACTCGTCGAATGTGCAATTCGCCGCTGTTTTTCATTTTCTCTATTTTTTTTTTTTCCCTACACGCAATGGGAAGGCGCAGATATCAGCACGCGTACGCCGTTGAGGGAAGAGGACAACAATGATGCATGAAGGGAGAATGGAACAGCAAGGACGGAGAATGGAGGATGAAAGGATCGGGCCCATAGCAAAAAGCTCGCGTTACGATGGACGACGACACAATAAAGGACATCTCACGAGGGGGACAAGCAGAGAGGAGGAGGACGGAGGAGAAGAGGCAGGACGACAATCGTGATGGAGGGAGAAGCATGAAGAATGAAGGTGCAGGAAGGGGAAGGAGGGAAGAGGACGACGATGATGCATGAAAGGAGAATGGAGGAGCAAGAAGGACGAAGGATGAAGGATGGAATGAGAAACGGAGCGGGAGTCAAAGCGGGCAAACAGGGCAAGGCGAGGATCGGACCCATAGCAAAACGCTCGCGTTACGATGGACAAGGACGCAAGGGGACAGAGGAGCATGGCGGAGAACTGCCACGATGGAGGGAGGAGGGTGGAGACGAAAGAGGACGGACTGTGGAGGACGAGGAAGGAGGGCAGAGAATGGTTGCAGGGGACACGAAACGACGACGGGACAAAATCGGCTACAGTTCTCTCTGTCATTTTTCTTTTTCCAAAAAGATCACCATAGGGCGAATTGTTTTTATTTTTTTTCCCCTTCACGACAGATTATAAAATCCCGGGGAAGTTGACTGTGCAATGTGCATACACAAGGAAAGATATTACCAATTCCGAAATAAATTGTATTGTGGACAAAAACAAGCTGAATAACTTCTGCCTCAGTGCATCAATTGTTTTTACCAAAAACTTAAAAAATATAATATTCTGCCTTTTTCTTTTTCTTTTTTGGGGGGGGGGGGGGAAGGGGGGGGGAGGGGGGGGTCTGTCCTGAGAAGCGACCCCAAATTGCTCTCGTGCCATGAGACTACAGAAATTTCCAAATCCTGTTAATTACTTAATATATAAACTTCTTTTGTTTCTAAAATGTCAATGTATTATTTTAGCCTTGCTTTTGTTTTACTTGATATTTTCCGAATGCATTTCTTTTTCTGAAAAGAATGGCCTCCCCTGACAAACGACACAGGGCCGGTCTGGTAGCCTTTGTTTTTTTTTCGCTGGAGTGCACAGAAATTTCCTTAATTTCATCTCACCTAGCATTTCTTTTGTTGTAAAGAATACGGACGTGTATGACTTTACCAATTTTGCTTTGTTTTTTTCTTTTGATGAAATCGACACTATTAACACAGAAATTTATTTTAAATCCTCATATAACATGTGTTCCTTTCATTCGTCTTTGGTGACATGTGTCTTCTCCTTCGTTGTTTCCATCTACTCAACCTTAGCTGAAAGTTCACAACACGCTGAACAGAGAGCACGGCACATGCACAGAGAACGCCAACCTCGGTACATACAAAGACACGCGGATAATATTCAGCCCCGAATGCACAGTGCACGCCTTTACACAGCAACACTTTTTGTCCAACAACTTCTACTCCAGATCGTGACTCTCGGTGACAGAACATATTACACATACTGCAAAGCAGAAAAATGGCCTCGTGAAAACACTTGGACTTCACTATGCTGTCTTCGAGGCACCTTCACCATATTCACTACAGTCACCTGTAAGAACTTAGGAGTCGCTCTGGACATATCCTGACCCAGACAGTCCTGCTGATCGAATTCTTCGTCTGTGGGAGACAGACGATCGGTATGGTAGACTCCTTCGATCACGAGCATGACAATTCAATAATGCACTTGCCCTCGCATCTCAGACTGTCAAAGAAACACAAATGCCGCCCGGACAATGGCAAGAAATGCTCAGAATCAAGGGACAACTGCGGCACTTTTTAGGCCCTCTTATTCCGCAGGAAAACCAGCGGCCATCTTTTGCTCAAATTTATATATATGACCCCCTCAACAAAAACAATGCAACAAATCAAATCCCTCCTACGAAAACTGCACTACCTCCGTTGCCAATGCAACCGTTGGGTTCGAGATTTTATTACAATCTCCGAATTTCCTGACCATATGATAGAAAGTCGTAGAATTGTTATCAATCCTGATGTACATCCATCAGACGAACACCTCCGCAGATATAACAAGCCAGAGGGATTATAAGAACTTTGTATCCTCATGCATGACAAGCCTCTCCGGCGTGAAATTGTGATACATCGCCGAACTAGTGGCACTGTCCCTATTCCTGACACAAATCAAGCACTTGATCCACTGCATTATGTTCTACTCTTCCCGCCTGGCGAGAATGGATGGACCAACAAGTATTCCTTCATCATTTCTGCACAACCCACACCCCCCCCCCCCCACTCAGGTCGCTTACGCCTTGGCTGCTATGGCCACCATCGTACTGCTCGGTCGCCAGCCTGGCTATGGAGTATCTCTCAAGCATCCTCTTCCTCTTTCAGAAGCACAGTGCCCAAGTTGCCTTAACGCACAAGCAGCAACAGCGCTTCCGCATCTCGCAATTCAACGAGTGATGAACAGCTGCACTGTAGCAGCTACACATAGGACTTGGGGCTTCGCTGGGCTTGGCGTGTCTTAGCCTGCTTCAGACCGATACAAGTCAGCTGCAGCCTGTCTGCTGCAAACATTTTGTCCGTCAGGTAGCTTCCGGACTTTCCTGGGACATGCTGCAAAATTGGGACTTGGGACTGTCCGACTGGACTGGAAGCTTCTGGACTTTTCTTGCTGGGTACCGGACAGACTCCTACCAACCTACGACGCTTCAGTACCGACACCTACCGACTTAAGACGCTTCGGCCTGTAAAACCTACAGTACAACTCTGGGACTTGGGACCGTCGGGACATTGGGACCAGGACTGGGTGGGTGTCTGTAGCATGAATCCTTTCAAGGTCGCATCAAGGCAGGTTTGTCCAGTAGTGCATGCAGGTCGCATCCGGTACATCGCATAGCCGGTACGTCTCATAGGTCGGTTGGGAAGGGAGGTACAGTTTGCACGACGATCAGAAAGAAAGTCCGGTCGGTCCGCTATCCCATTTTCTGCAACGGGCCCAAATCGCCGGCCGACCAGAACCTTCTTTTTATCCCTACTTTATAGGGGAAAACGGCGACGGCCTCGAGTTATCATCATTGAGCTGACCAGGGACAGGGCATTCAGGTCATCTGATTGTGTTTCAACAGTTCATGGGTGTACGAACTGAGCTAACCCCACTGGTACCGGCCTGCTATTCATTCTTGATTCTAAAAGTTACGGTTCTACCTAACGTGCAAAATAAAACCGGGGCCGCAGCACAGATGCTGAAAATGAAAACAATCAAAACAACCGCTGTGGCCCCGTGCAGCGCCAAAACAAAACGAAACGCCCCCGAAAAAAAAAAAATGATTCTGACACACGTCCTCCTTTCCCCCAGAGACAATCTTTATGGTGTAAAAATTCTGACAGCACATCCAATGTCTGACACGATTGTGAAAATGAAGTCGTACGATTAAAAAATTCTGACACGATCATGAAAATTAAGCCCTAGGATGTAAAAAGTATTACGCGATCGTCAAAATGAAGCCATATGACGTCAAAAAAACAAACACATGCAACGACTCGACCGCGATAGACGCCCACAAGCAGTTCTCATTTCACCATTAAAACAGTTGCCAAAACAGCCCACTAAGAACCACAACCGCAAAGATCACACATCCCACGGCCAGAACCACATTGTTAGCCAATGAACAGTACCCGCAGCCATTGAGAATTGTAGTATTGAATAGAATAGATCAGCATGGCCCTGCACGACTGAAACTCTTTATTCTCCTTACTCACTTCCTCCTCTTCGCGATCTTCTTCCTCCTCACACTCTTCAGTATCAATGCTCTCTCTCTCTCTCTCTCTCTCTCTCTCTCTCTCTCTCTCTCTCTCTCTCTCTCTCTCTCTCTCTCTCTCCCCCCCCCCCCCTTCTTCCCCTGACCTCTTTGCTCCCTACTTAACTCCACCCAACCTCTGCCCTCCCTGTGCCCGATTTCTCCTTACTGCACCCAACCTCTGTTGTCCCTCCTTTGCCCTTCCTCTGCCCAACTTCTCCCTACTCCACCCAACCTCTGCCCACCCTCCCTTTGCACTCCCTCTGGCCGACTTCTCCTTGCCACCTTATTCCTTCCTCCCACCCTCCTCCCAACCTTCTCCTTTTTTTCAACCTTCCTCCACCCAACCACCTCCCTCCACTTCTTTTGCATAGTCTCCACCTGACTTCTCTCTCCCCCCATCTCCTCCCTCCCCTTTTCCCAATCCCCACTTCGGCCTGACCTCGTTCCTCCCCCAGCCTCCTCCCTCCCCTTCCTTCCACGATGAGGTCCACCTGACCTACTCCCTCCATTCCTCCCTCCATCCAACCTTCTCCCTCCCTCCAACCGAGCCTCCCGTCTTTCGTGACACCCAACATAATGAGGGTGCATTTCTTTCCCTTTTTCAGGTGGACGTAGACACTGCATTCTTTTCAAAATCTGAATGAGGGTGCAAGCGCGCAATAAGGGTGCACTCACACTCTTCCTCCTCCAAACCCTCCTCAAACTCTAGCTCCCACTTCACGCTCTTCGTTCTCCACACCTCCATTGTCTACCTCCTTCCTCCACCACCTAAGGTTTATCTCCCGCCTCCTCAAGCTCTTCCTCAAATTCTCCTCACAGTCTTTTGGGGCTGCCTTAAGATTAATCATCAAACTGACCCCCGCCAGGTATTTCAAGTGATCAATTTCTCTTTCCACAGGTCACACTCTTATTTTCCCTACGCCCGCCACATCGAACTGAGTCCAATAAAAACATGCGTATTTTGGCATATCCGTTTCTTTTGAGATTATGCTGCTTCTTGATCTTACTCGTCCATAGCACAATGGACCCGCGTAATCTGACAAAGAATGATCGAAATTGACTCCACATACATCTAGGATGCTAAGACGCGTGCATGCAAGTTCCCTCGGGCTCAGCATCATCACCAGCGTATGAGCGGCCCATGAACATGGGAGAATGGTAGATACGATAGCGAAGGGGAGAGAGAGATCAGCCAAACACGCACACACGCACACACACACACACACAGACATGCGCGCGTGCACACATAGACGCACGCGCGCGCGCGCGCACACACACACACACACACACACACAATGTTGTGCAGGCACACATCCCCCTGCGCACACAGTATGAAAAGTGTGTGAGAGAGAGAGAGAGAGACTGAGATGTTCCAGCAGGGGAGAAGGTGAGACTGCAAGGCAGGGGAGAGGACGCGCCAGAAGTTAGGTCGATTTCTGAGCCATGGTACTGCGGACCATGGTTAGGCTTGATTCCAAAAGCATGCCTACAGACACACGGACCATGCAGATTGCTCAAAGGTGCCATGCAATGGGGAAGAGAAATAGGAGGACAAGGGGGAAGCGATTGGTGTGCCTAATCCTCCCAATGGAAATTCTGAATTCATCAACCGCCCTGCATGTACCCTGTAGTCGGACAGGCCCCCAGCATCCTGCAACATACAAAACAGTGACTGGGAGATGTACGAGCGGGCATTACTTGCCCACGACATAATAAAGAGCCCAAAGCACTCCGCAAACGATAGGGGAAACATACTTTCTCGAAGGACAGGGAAAGAGCTCAAGAATGATAAACATTTCCTCTCTCTCTCTCTCTCTCTCTCACACACACACACACACACACACACACACACACACACACACACACAAGTGATCAGGTGATCAGGATAACCGATTGCCCAAAAAAAAGTGGCTGAAGTGAGCAAACCGCATTACGCCTGTGCTATTTATTTGAGCCTTTCCAAGCCGAGGAGCAGATATCAAACCACTTCGCCTCCACATCTCACTGACAAGTGACCTGCAGCACCTTGTTTCTCGAAAACAACAAATAACATGAATGACTTTTCAGAGATGTCATTTCACAATCTTCCACCGTGGGCGACCTTCACAACTCTTTACTGACAACTGGCCCCGCCAACTCCGTCAAAATCTGCCCCTCTCTGTCTCCTCATTCTTCACTAAGACCTGCTGCTTTCCTTTCGCAAACGCTGCTACTGCCCAGTCAAAGGTCTCTCCCGAGCTGCTGAATCGAAGAGCAACTGCGTTAGACGGGGCCACCGACCGCAGTTGGCTAGCAGATAGAGCATTGAACAATACAAACACATTCAGAATACGCAAGATGTTAGCCCCGGAATGGTGCAGCCAAATACAGCCTTCAGACTCTTTACACACAACTTGCACAACATTTCACCTGTTGTGCATGAGCTCATAAAATGTGGTGCTTCTGCTGCAAACCCTGTGGGAAAGCACACAAGGGCATCTATCGACTACTTCAGCCTGGCAATCCACCATTTGACAGGAAAACTCTGATATCAATCAGGTTGATCAACACATCAGAAAGCCAGGTCACACGAAGCATGACCTGCATCAAAGATAGACACAACAGCAACTCAGGAGATTAGGGTTCCCTACATTGTGTCTGGGGAGAGCATTGAACTACAACAGTTTGGAACAGACAAACGTGTGGTCTCATCGACTGCATCACATCGACTTCGACAAACCATGATAGGACTGCTAAACGTTTACCTTCAGGGCAACTGGCAACTGCTCTACTTCACCAAGCCATGCAGAAACTGCTCTATAGAAGCACAGACAGGCTAACGGCGATCATGAACTGCAAAAGACCATTGACTCTCACTCTCCCATGCCACGGGAGTACTACCGGTAGTGGTGCTATATGCCTTGTCTGCAAAATCAGCACAATCATTGACAGCGTATTGCAGAAAAGCAGTGACAAATGGGAGTGGGACATTTGGCAGACCAGGTTGAGCCAGTGTGCTGGTCCATCGAGCAAAGCGACTGAAAATGACCAGCAGGCAAATCCGACTTTCTCCTCAACAAATATGCGCATGCATTCGGAACGGACATGCTCGTATTGGTGCGCCCCCCAAAACCAGATGTGAGGTTGCATGTCTGCCCATGTGGTTTTCTTGTAATCGGCTGCATCGAAGCTTCAGGCACATCATCCACTCAAGTACGAGAAAATAGCAGTATTCACACATTCCTGCCAGCACACTCAACTTCTCACATGCATCATATCAAAGCAGAGTGCATCATTTCCAGTAATTTCCATGAAGGATTCTGAATTCTATTTTTTTCCGCTTACTAAATTTGGCGAGAGGCGATCTCAGCCGAGAGCTGGAACGAAGGATTAGGGAAATTTACGTTTCAGTTTGGCATCCTTAAGCCAAGAAGTCGTGATGAGTAGAAGGCAGGCCCCATCAGTGCTATATTCATGCTTTCCTAAAAGAAATACCTGCCTAGATTTTTTTTATTTTTTTTACGTACTAAATTGGTGAAAGACGATCTCAGCCGAGAGCTTGAACGAAGGACTAGGGAAATTTGGATTTCAGTTTGGCATCCTTAAACCACCAGAACATCCGGAAAAGGAGATTGAGCCTCTCCTAAAAAATAGGAGGCCATGAACCGCCGATTGGTTTTATTGCCTCCGAATTTTTAGGAGAGGCTCAATCCGTTTTTCCGGATGCACTGGTGGTTTAAGCGGAGAAGTCATGATCAGTAGAAGGCCGGCCCCACCGGTGCTATATTCATGCTTTCCTAAATGAAATACCTGCCTGAGCATTATTGCGACCAGTTTGTGCAAGGACAACAGCACTCTAATATGTACATTGTGCCAAAAGGCAAGACCATCACAGGGATGATGATGCAGGTATCATCCTCGATGTCTGTAATGACGAGGTTTGGCAGCAACCATGCTACTATTCTTCTTTCTCCAAGACTTCATACCACCGTCATCATAGCCGCAACACCACCACAGAGCCCATCACTTTGCACCCGTAAACAGAGAATATCCGCATGCACACAATGAAACGCACAGTCAAATCACCGGGCCAGCGTGCACGCCAATTCAACATTCACCTAGGTTGCCAGCTGTCCGATCCGTCCGGGGAAGACGTCTSSGGGRGRSGGKSGGGGGGGGGGGGGGGGGGGGGGCGTATCCGGGATCCCGGACAACAGCATTTTGGCCGAAAGAGAAAACRAAAAAGAAGGGGGGAAATTCGGGGAGGGGTCTGCATACCACTAGAGGACCCCCCCAAAAACTTATCGGCCCACTCTCAGCAAAAACGAGAACAATTGGTAACAAGGGGGGAAGGGGTAGGGTTTAGTGGAGGGCCCGCTGCTACACACAACGAGGAGGAAGAAGAAGAAGAGGAGGAGGAGAAGGAGGGCGCCGAGGAGGAGGAGGAGGAAGAAGAAGAAGAGGAGGAGGAGGAGGGCACCGAGGAGGAGGAGGAGGGGCCATCAGCAATGGAGGAAGAGGAAGAGGAAAAAGAGGAGGAAGGGGGGGGAGGGGGGGGAGTTGATGGAGGGCCCACTGCTACACACAAGGAGGAGGAGGAGGAGGAGGAAAAAGAAGAAGAGGAGGAAGAAGAAGACAAGGGAGGAGGAATAAGAGGAGGTAGAGGAGGAGGACGAGGCAGTGGAGGAGGAGGAGGAGGGGGGCGTGTCGATGGAGGACAGCAAGGACGAGGAAGAAAACAACGAAGAACAGTAGGGTGAGGGCGAGGGGGAGGAGAAGGATTTCTTTTTTTCTCCCGCAGTCTTTGATGATTTTTTTATTTTTCTTATAAATGCAAATTTCCTGAAAAATAATCAGAGTATAACTCACTTCTCAAAGAAACCACAACAAGGGAAAAAAAGAATATTTACTATTTAAGCCCCAAAATAAAAGAAACAGAGAAAAGAAAAACGGAAAAACTTCACAAACGAAATAGAGACTTGGAGCGCATATTTTCTACACCGCCATCTTTGGCGATTTTTAGTTGTTGTTTTTTTTCTACTCATCGAAATGCCACAAAAATTCATGGGCATATGCCTTATCTGCAGAAGAATCCACACAAAAAAAAATCAGATTACTAAATTACGTATTTTTATGTAGGTTCGGACAGAAGGCTGCGGTCGGACGTTTGGCCCGGTTGTTCGGGCTGGCAACCCGCATGGTCAGGGCGGTCCCGGACGTCCGATCAGGTAACATAGACATTTACTTCTTTTCAATGTTCGCCTTTTTGGTGGGATGGCATCACAATTTTTGAGGGCAACATGAATTCCGAATTAAAATCAGCGTTTCCTTGTTTGTGTCCTGCACTCACTTTAAGTGACGTGTTATCGGCTTGCCAAGATGAAGGCTGCACACCACCAAGTTCGCCAGCGTGTCTGCATTCTTTGCATCCTGCAGAAAGAAGGAATTACAACAACATTGGACGGTCAGGACATCCTCCTGTCCACTCTGCATAAACTTCAGTTCAAAAAGCTCTCAGTCTAACACAAGCGGGATCCGCAGTTGGGGTCACTGATGAGCCACACATACCTTACTCAGGGCTTCAAGCAGCGTGTTCTCAGCATCATCAAAATGGCCCATGCACATGTTGCAGACTGCACAGCCATTCATCAAAGGCACCGTCCATGTGTACTTCTCACATAACTCCTGGAAGATATAGAATGCTTCTTGAACTTTCGATCCCCCCTGGCACATGCAAGAGCAGGAGACGCAAACATGTGTCTGGTAAGAAGGCAAGGGGCTGAACGCCACCTGAAAAATAGGTGCCTGTGAGAAGGCGGCCAGCTCCTGAAAGTCTTATACCATCCCCAAGGCACCAGTTGTCTGGTCACAGAAAAATAGGTGCCTGTTCTGGAAAGCTTGCCGGCACAACCAGATATCCGCCAGCCAGGTAAACCTGGGTTCACCTGGGCGGATGCACCCATACGATAAACATTTCACCCTGCAAAAAACACTAGCAAGGATCAGAGGGGCAAACCAAGGCCCTGGGTTTGCCAGGCTGTCCCCAGGGCCTACATCAGCCTTTGTTTTTTGTCCTTTAGAGACCCCGACTCGTGATTCTTGGACAGTGCTGCAAGAAGTTCGGAAGAGCTTCTAATGCAGCAAATTGAAAGTTCATTCCAACTGCTTGCGCCCTGCAGCCTACCACCCCCACTCTCAGCTCGTAGGTTGCCTGGCCTGATGTACCTCCTCCCTCTCGCCCTCCACCTTCCTCCTCAGCCATCCATTTCATCTGCCTTCCCCTCTCCCTTTTCCTCCTCTACCTCTATTCTTCGTCTTGTTATTCTTCTTCACCATCATAGCCTTCCCTTCTCCTCTCCCCTTCTTCTTCCTCCTCTTCTCTTCCTCCCTGCTCGCCGATTGGAACGCGCATCTCACGTAGAACATGCATGTTAGGAGCTCATGATTCGAGCCGCGCCTCTCCATCCGCATGCACAATCCAAACCGTGCATCAGTCAGAACCACATTGTTTGAGAACATAAGAGAGCACTAGGTCTTGAAGACTCCCCTGTTCTCCCTAAGCATGATTGACAGCTACACACTTTTAAGAAGACCCAAAAACGGTTTGCTCTGAAGAGATGGTATCACCCAGACTAGATGGCCCGTTGTGAATCCTTGGCAAACAAAAGTATGATGAATAATAAATTTAAAGTCCAGGATTCACTCCCACCTCTCTCTCTCTCTCTCACACACACACACACAAAAAAAAAAAAAAAAAAAAAAAAAAAGAGGATGGCTGTGCTCCACAGCACTGCAAACGAAATCTCTCCCAACTCCCCTTCTCATTTGCTACCATTCGCAGTTCCACAAGTTCATCCCATACCCAGCCAATACTGGTGTCAAGTACGAAAGGCACCCAAGAGTAGGGTAGCACACACTCAAACCCTCCACCACAGTCACCAGCATCGCAAAATCAGAAGCAGAAAGGAAAAGGAGCAAAAAAGACTAGCTGCCTCAGATATCATTCCCTACATCATGGTGTGACGGGCCCATGAGCAATCGCCACAGTACAGATACCAGGTGCGCGCAGTTGGGGTCCAAAGAAGGCACCATCACTGCACAGGATTAGAGATCGATGACGATATTCCGAGTGCTGTCCGCAGAGAGCCAGGGGCAGAAGCTACTACCAGCAGCAAGGAAGAAAGGGGGCCTGCCTGGGCTAAGCAATTTGACGGTCAGACTTACCAGAGCCACATTCAGCCAAGCATTTGACAATTGAGTGAGTGTATGGTCCTCATCCAGCTGCTGCATGGACTTCAGCTGCTTCTCCGCATAATCCGGTCGGTCCATCTTCAAGTACATTTGCACATTGAGGGCCATCCTGTCCTCATTCCACACAATAGTCAACGGAAAGCAAGGTCGAGCTCAGCATCAGCCTGAAGAAACTCTTCATCACAGCCACGCAGAAGCATACTTTACTACTGGAAGCAAGGACTGGGAATGAATAACTCACTCAGTTCGTGGCGTGCCAAAAGATGAAGAACTGATAGTTTGTGACGTGCGGAAAGGCGAATCCATGAGATGACAACGAGGCATCGTAGGCATAGGCAAGGCATAATTCGCTTAGTTAATGAAGGTACAGACAGGTGAACCACCGAGACGCCACAGAGACGCAGAAGCACACTTAGTGAACTAGTGCATGGAACAACGAGCAAGGCTAAAGGCTCGGGGAACAATTGGGACTCGAACACATGCCTCAGGCAAACCAACCATATATCAGGGAGTAACCGGGATTTGAACCTGCAACATCTGGCACGACCGACCAGAGGCAAAGTCATGCGATACCGATGAGACAGGTCACACGAGACATGTATGTGTAGCGAGCTTGAGAAACAGCTTGACGACAGAGGTTAGAACAAATCACCACACGCGACGTGATGAATGTCCTCCCGCTCAGAATCAGACACATCCGCTCACTCATATAGGTCCAGTAAGCAGGACTGGCAACATCCTGCACCAGCCTCTGCGCCGATTAGGTTGGCAATGTATTATTGGTGCTGGCAGCAGGGATCTCTTTAGCTAGCTTTCTTCTTCTTTCTTCCTTTCTCTTTCATGACCCCTCAGCTAGCATTTCATAACGCCCACTATCAACATCCCGTCAGGACTGGCCCAACCCTGTCAGTGTCAGCATCTTCAGTGCAAATCAGGTTGGCACCATTTGATCTGTGCTACCGACTTCACTTTCATAAGAATGCCCGGTCATTATATCCGTATTTGGGGCAACTTCCAGTCTAGATGCAGCCATAATGACCGGGCGTTCTATTTGGGCGAAGACGGTAGTGGTAGGAATCTCTTCAGTTGGCTTTCTTTTCCAGAGGCTCTTCGGCTGTAGTTTTTTAAACGACCACTCTCTTTGACAACCGCCCTGGTCACCATACCAGGCGGCCACCCCTTTTTGTTCCGCTGGTCCATTGGATTCAAGATCCAGCGGCCACAGGTTTCCTGTTTTCCTCTGTATGATGGGCTTTCTTTGGGGCAGTTTTCTCGGGGAGGGGCAGTGTTTTAAACATCAGCACAACGTCTTCTGTACCAAATCATAGACAAACCTTGGCAGATATAGCCTCCATTCACACATTATTGGATGTCCAAAAAAGGCCCATCTAAGATATAGCACAAGCTATTGCAAGAACGGCCGAAATTAGAACAACAAGCAAGGGATGCGGGCACAGGGAAGAGCCAATGCTGCAAATTGCTGCAGAACCCAAACACCGACCCCTTTTATTATTTCTCCTCGATGTATGTAAGCGCATTCCCGACTCAATACAGTGCTGGCCCATCAAGGGATTTATTACACACGTGACATGTAATTGCATGCTAGCACAGATCATGAGTTCAAACCCTGAACACAGTAACGTCAGGGAACACCCCACTTAACAACCAACCGAAAAAGGAAACATTGCGCTGAGCAAATCGTCAGTTCATATCCTAACGATAGAATGAAATTACCCCTCCCCCCGCTCTTTTCTCTTTTGAACAAGTAAGAAAATGGCACAGCGTGCACTGAAACTTACACTTCCAAGCTCGAGGATGCATTAGTGAATTTCAAGGCCTCAGCATAATTCTTTTCGTGTGCGAGAATTGTCCCTCCGACTACCAGCACCGTCGGATTTTGGGTCATCACAGGATCATTCAGGAGACCTAGGATGGCATCCAGAACTTTTTCCTGCGAAACAAACAAAAGCCATTAACTCGGTCGTCACAGAAAAAAACAATAAACAAAAAAAAGACATCATTACATGAAACTGGCACAATCGCTCACAATTCACTCACTAAAAATAGCACATTTATAAAAAAATAGCACCTGTTTTTCCTCTGCAGGCAAGCCATCAGCAAGAAACTCCTCTCTCATACTCTGCATCAGTTTGGGCGTATCAGCCCCGAGGCGATTTTGTCATAATCTAAAAGTAAAAAAAGGGAAAAAAAAAAGAAACCTCGCATTCACCGAATCCAGGAGCATGGTCCCATTAGCAGTCGAATAGGAGTGTGGCCGCTCCAGTGTGACACTGAGTGGCAGCGGCCTGGCAGGTTCATCAAAATTTCTCAGACACTGAGTGGCAGTGGCCTGGCAGGTTCATCAAAATTTCTCAGACACTGAGTGGCAGCGGCCTGGCAGGTTCATCAAAATTTCTGGGCTGAGAAAACAGGAGAAAGGCAAAAGCAAAAAAAAAAGAAACAGAGACCTCCCACCAGAAAACACGGCAGAGTGCTTCCCAGCCATCAGATCACAAACGATCTGATAGTGGTGGTTGCAACACCAACACTGAACAAAGTAACTGCCACATTTTCTGGATTAAACTCGACTTCTGTCAGCAGTGATCATGTGTACTCCGTGATTGAAGGAGGGCTCCACCCAGTGAGATAACTGCACAACGGCAAGCAAAATACTGAAAATATTCTATCCAGTTGACCTATGGCCGACCCCCACCCTATTTTGGGGTCGGCCATACCCCCAACGGATTGAAAAGATTTTGGCGGGAATCTTCCTTTGCACCGGCCTGCCCAGTGTTAAGGAGAGGAGGAGGGGAACAAAGATCTCCTTACTTTTCCGGGTAGTACATGTAAAATACTGACCGTGGGATCACGAGTACTGCACAGCAGGATTTAGGTCACTCAACTGCCACACAAACTCTTTTCTATCCTTATCTCTTTGCTACTGGGACCATGCTCCAGGAAGCAAAGGAAGACCAAAAAAAGAAAGGAAACACGAATTTGGCACTGAAATTGGTTACATACATTTGTCCGAGTACCAGTATCGGTATGCCCTCAACGATGCCGTTTCAGTACAACACGGGATACGCCCTGCCTCGCTGGCAGGGGAATCTAAGAGAGAAAAAGAAAAGAAAAGAAGGAAAAAACAACTTGGTGAATCTAACTGGAATAGTGGTAGTTGCACATACAGGGAAGAACCTATGTGGCCACGACATTCGCTAACTTCATGCAGTAGTTCTTTTTTTTTTTTTTTACTCTTCTACACAGAAATACTCACTGACCGGCCGCTCAGCTGAATGACCCCCGCCCGACGCAGCGCGTTAACGGCCGCGTCGGGATATTTCGGCTATGTAGACAAGGTGGTACTGGTGGTAACCACCAGTACTTAGCGGCCCCTTCTTTCGTTTAAACCACCACTACCTTTCTGAGCCTTGCGAAAAACGGGAATATACATCACACCGCATTTTTAGGGGGTCCTAGACGAGGCTCGAGGTAAAAGAAATGTTTGGGCCTTGTGGGCCCGCGCATAACCAAAAAAAAAAAAGAGGAGGCAACTTTGTACACAGGAACAAAGTCGGGGAAGGCTGAGAACAAGGTGTGCTCACATCACAACTTCCACTAATGTATCTAACCACAACACTGGATAGTTTCAGATTATTTTTGTGTTTTTTTTTTTTTTTTCCGGTTTCTTTTTAGTGCCCTGCCAGAGAGGCAGGGCGCTTTACACAGATTGCTGACAACTCACGCACGGAGGGCATACTCTCACACGTACTCCTGATTCTGTATCTGGCTGCAATTACGTTCATAGTGTGTCCACTTTTAAGCTTTAGTTGTTCATCGTTTCAAGTAGCTGCCGTGATGCCCGCGCCTCTGTAACCCCCCCACGGAGGGCACACTCTCATACACACTCCAGATTCTGTATCGGGATGCAATCACGTCCATGGCGTGGTTGATTTTTCTTCTTTTGTTTCTCGTACTCTCACACACAGTCCAGATTCTGTATCCAACTGCAATCACATCCGTAGTGTGGTTGCCTTCCTTTCTGCGCGTCTCCCACTTTGAAAGCCAATGCCGTGACGAAGGATTTCTTTTTCTTTTTTTTTTTTTTGTGAGAAGCTTTGCTCCTTTCCATTGGTGGGGAGCTGCACCTGCTCGAAAACGGTTCCAGCGTCGCTTACAAACATCATATCTGAGAAAAATGTCAAAGAGGTACTGCGTCAGTGTCCTGTGGTAAGACGAGGTCATCCCTCTCATCCCACAGATGTCCGGAAATAGCTAGTTCTTTGCTCTCTGAGAAACGAGTCCGCTGGAAGTCGGGAGCCCAGCTCGTTTCTGACCATTTCAATACCGAAATCTATGGCCAGAGGCAAGTTGCCGTGGTGAGTGCCACTGACTTCTGCTAGCTCACCTTCATCTCCGAGGCAGATTCGTATATCGTGAGACAGTCGTGAAGTGCAGTTAGTGAAGAGGAAGTATTATGAGATATCGCTGAGAAACCGTCTGCCAATGCAGACACCTTGAGTTCGAGATACGGGGGTCATTATTACTTTTATTTTTTTGCTGCAAAAGTAAAAAGTACCAGGAAAAACATGCGATGGAACCCAGGCTCGGCAAAACTTGGTGCGCAGTGAAATTCAGGGTCGGCAAACACGGTCAGTCAGTCGCCAGACACGGCCTTTAGCCCTACTCAGCCTGTGTGGGTTTGGTCAACAAAGCTCTACGACCTCATACACAGAGTTCCTAACACCTGGACGGAAGAGACTCAATGCAAAAAGAAGAGACGGAGAGACTCAGCAAGTACCATGGGATGAGTGCACATCCATAGGGCGAGTGGATAGGCTGAAGGCTTGGCAAGAATATACCAACTCCAGCTTGGTCAATTTCATGGTCAACAGCTTCGGTCAACGCCTTGGTCAACCCTCGGTCAATGCCCAAGTCAACCCCAGTCAACCCTTTGGTCAACGCCCAAGTCAACCTCTGTCAACTCCTTGGTCAACGCCCAAGTCAACCCCGGTCGACCCCTTGGTCAACGCCCAAGTCAACTTCGGTCAACTCCTTGGTCAACGCCTTGGTCATCGGTCAATTCGGCTATGGCTGCCGACACTTTCTTTCTCACCAACCCTCGCTTTTCTTTTTGCTTCCTTTCTTCTTCCTCACTCCTTTCTCTCCTCACCCCGGCTATGTCTTTCTTTTCCCTGCTTCGTCTCTCCTGTCTCCTTCCTCAGCTATGGCCTCTCTCTCCTTCGTCTCTCCTACCTTCTCCTCTACTTCACCTTCTTCCTACTTGGTAACCCTGTGTCCGAGCTTCTGCGGGTCTTATTTCTCCCTCCTGTCTTGGGTGGCACAAACAATTTTGTATGGCTCCTCTCTCTCTCTCTCTCTCTCTCTCTCTCTCTCTCTCTCTCTCTCTCTCTCTCTCTCTCTCTCTCTCTCTCTCTCGTCATTGTCTTTTTTGCAGGTACGCGACACTATGGCGGACCTTCCTCCTTCACTGGCGCAGCTCCAACTATGGCGCCCAACTGGCGCGTGCCTCCTTCCTGCTGGCAATGGCGATGTGGCGTGGAATAGCGGGAACCAGCTCCGATACCAATGCAATCAGACTCGCTGTATTTCTCACTTTGCATGCATACGAACAGATGGCAAACCAAACTGGTGCCAGGCGCCCACTCAAAGCTCTGGGATATGGACAACAGTTCAGGTGCAAACTCGCTTCAACAGGCTATGGCGACTGCACGCCCAACAACTCTCTTCACCGACACTGTGTCCACAACCATTGTTCCCATACACTCCACTCTGGATCCCCTGGATATCCCACACACTTCCCTGTACTACGCACACACACACACACTAAAGCCTATGTTCAACCTACAGCGGCTATGGCTATGGCTACGCTATCTTCCTTCAGCCCTCTTCGACTTCGGGCGACCTGCAGATCACCTTGCACAAGACGCTGGGGCAGCGCTTCCGCATGGCTCACGCAGCAATGAATGAATGGCTGGACGCTGCCTTGATTTATACTTCTGTAAGTCGTTGGTCTGCCCTTTTCCACGGGGCCCATGGTGCATACAGTCCCTCATGGTACTTGCTGACTGTACAAATTGAGACTGGGACTGGGTACGGCTGACTAAGCGAAGTTGGACTCACCACTTGCCCACTTGCCTCTGGTCTGCTGTGTAAAACGTGAGAAGAAACTTGAAAGGCCACTTCCGGACCT